GGATTTCACCTGAATTTATAAAAAAAAATAAAAAAAAAAAGAGAAAATCAAAATTTTAGAAAAATCGAACAGGACCGAGCGTTCCTTTCCCAAAAATCCCTAACCCTAGCTCGGTCCATCGGCCGTTTTCACCATCGCTCTCCATCACCGACTTTAAGCTCCCACCGGAACCCGCGACCCACCGGCGACGAGTCCTCTCCGACGGCGATTCGGGATTTTCACCTCAGACCACGACCGAGCTCCGACGCCATCTCCGACCACTCGTGCGCTTCCATCTTCGCCGGACAAGCCTTGACCTCCGGCGGACTCGGCCTCCCTAACCTCGCGTGCACCTTCATTCTCCGACCGACGACGTTCGATCTATTCCCGGCGTCGAGCTGCTGTCCATCCGATTGACGTGTTCGCGAGCTTCTAGCTCCGCCCGTCACACTCGAACTCCGGCAAGCTCGACTTCCCTAACCTATCCTCTGAACCCCGGCGACACGCGTTCGCGGCAGCAGGTTTCCGGCGATCGTGCCCACTTCCGTTCATCTCTCGAGCATACTCTCCTTCCGACTACCGAGCGCATCATTTTCCGTGGCCCCGACTGTTACCGAGGTATATGGCTTTAACTCTCGATTTGTTTTCGTTGATTAGTGGTGGGACTCGGCATTGAGAGTTGATATACTTTGATTGTGATTTATTGCCTCTTGTATTGATTCTTGCCGTGCTCGAAGTTGTGTTAATTGTCTCGACGATTTGCATATTCCTTGTCGATTGCCTATTGTATATTGCCGTGGGTTGTGTGGGACGCGTCTTGCCGGACGTGTTCAAACGTTTTGTAGGTACATTCTCGCTCGTCATTCTTCACGTTAGCAATGCCACCTACGAAAAAAAGGGCCAAGCGAGCCGCCCAAGCTTCTAAGGATAAAGAGGTCGTCGTCGAGGAGTCGGCACCCGAGGAACCGCCTCGCCGTTCACACGAAGTAACCACTCATAGCCATGATGCACCTTTCGAGCTTAAGAATTCAATGGAGAGGGCCATTTTTCTCAAACTCCGGGCCGCGCGGATCATAAGGCCGAAGGTAATGGATTTCTTGCTCTACGACAAGCTCGAGCTCAAGGCCGACATAAAAAAGTACCTCAAGGTCCTCGGCCTCTACAAATATGCCTCGATGAACACTACGCCTACACGAATATCACGCTAGAGTTTTACTCCACCTTTCAACTTGTGGAAAATCGGGAGGTCGTCACGTGCCGTTTCAACGGTGAGCCCTATACGATTGATGCGGACGTAATGAAGGAGGTTTTTGGATTCACGGGTGTTGGCTTAGACGCTCCTCCGGCGGATTTTGATGTTAAGGAGGCATGGCGTGAACTATCGGGGTTACCGATGAAACCAAAGGGAGAGTTGGTCAACGGGCACATTCGAGACCACGCGTTATGCATCGTCCACAAGTTCCTCAATTATAATGTCTTCGGGAAGAAAGAGGGGTCAAAGGTGAGCACTAATGAGATCTTCATGTTACATTGTGCCCTTCACAACAAGCCGGTGAACCCCCTACCTTTCATTTGGAGCAACATCGACCAAATTCGGTGCACGAAACGGTTCTATCCGACCTATGGTGTGCTCATCACGGCTTTGGCTCGTCACTTTAAGGTAAAGAAGGGAACCGACATTGTGGACTCAACACCGATTGGGGTCAACGAGCTTAAACTTGGGCAAATCATCCTCAACGAGACAACTTTGTGCCCTCACACCGATAGGAGATGTGTGCGCTCATACTTTGATACGGAGGCGGTGAGAGAGGCGGTTCCCGAGACTACTTCCGGTACCCGGCCGATAATTAATCTTCCTCCTTACGAGCACCCGATGACCGCCGTGAACAAGAGCCTTGCCGAGCTTCGTGCCTTCATGACGGATGAGTTTGCGAGATTGGGTGCTCGACTGGACGCTCGGATGGACCGCATGGATAGCCGGATTGATACTCTAGACTCTCGACTTTCGACATTGATAGACTCTCGGGCCGTGGGCCCCACTCCTCTTCCGGATTCTCATACCATGGATCCCGGTTCTTCTTCTCTTCCTCCCGACTACACACCTATGGATACACGGTGATTTCTCACCGTGGAGTACGCATTTTCTTTTTCCCTTTTTCTTTTTCTCTTTGTTTTGTTTATGTGTTATGTGCTTATTTCCATTTTGTGTGTTTTCCTCTTTCATTTGGGCTTGTGTGATTTTGTTTCCTCTCGTATGCTTTTTGGGGTTACGCAATGAGGGCATTGCTTTGTTTTTAAGCGTGGGGGAGGGAATTTCTTGGTTACATTTGCCTAAGTTATTGTCTTTTGTGTGCTTATGTGATCTTCTTTTTCGTTTTTCTTGGTGTTAGTTGTGACATGGACCGGTTGTTTTAGGTTGTTTTGTTTGTTGGTGTCAACTTTCCCCGCATGAGGCTTGATGTGCGTTTAAAAGTTCGAAATTGTTAAGTGGTGATTTGAGTATGTTGATTGGCGTCATTGTTAACGGTTGTGACTAATGAATTCGATGATTTTGACGGTACCTTTGAGTTGGATGATGATTTGTTAAACGTGGGACCCGCATATGAATTCACGAAATTGTTTTGTCCCTTGATTGTATCGATTGATTGACTTGAGATAGGCGTGCCTTATGTTCGATTATTGTAAACGTGTTATGCTATTCGTTTGTAATGCATCTAGATCATTTGTGCGTTATGCGTTATGAGAGTATACCTTTGATGTACTTTGTGCCTCTCCCTTCGGATTGAATTCATATTAA